AAAAAAAAAAAAAAAAAAAAAAAAAAAAAAAAAAAAAAAAAAAAAAAGCTTTACACTACCGAACGATTCTCGAAACCCGTTCCGCTTACCGATCTGTGCAGGTGCAACCACAACGAGCAGTCCACCGAAGCACAAGCCACCCCAGCCACCTCCGTTAACGGTCCGACAGCAGCCACCGCTCCCACCACCGCTGCCACCACCAACGGAACAACCACGCGTCCCAGCCAAGCTCCCCGTGCAGTGGAGCCCGGGTAACGCCCCAAGCGCCGCTGACGAGGAGGCGTCGCTGCTCCAGCCCCAGCCGTCGACGTCCAGCCCCATCTCCCCGCCGTTCGTCCGCGCGCCCATCGAGGACCGGTCCAAGTACGAGAAGCTCGCCTTCAACGCGGACGAGGTGTCCAGCGACAGCGAGGACAAGGACAAGCGCCGGAGACAGCTCGCCGAAAAGAAGAAGCGCCGCAGGGTGAAGGCCGTGCTGGACCGGGCACGCAAGAGAGTCGCCGAGCACGGCAGGCACGAGCAGCACTCGGAGCCGGGGCCCGCGGACCAGTCCAAGAGGCGGGTCGAGTCGGACGAGGACTCGATCGGCTCGGCGAGCGATTTGAAAGCCATGAACGACGACGAGGACGACGAGGACGGGGAGAGGGCTGACGGCGACGAGGCTGACTACGACGACGACGACGACTACGACGAGGACGGGGGGTTGGGCGAGGGGGGCCGACGAGCCAAGCGGCGAGCCAAGGCCGACGAGACGATATCCGAGAGCGCGAGGACCTGCGGTAGCTCGGCCTACCACGCGGAGTGCGAGTCCGTGGCGACTCACGAGGACCCCGAGCAGCTGAGGGCGCGTCGGCTCAAGCGCATCCACAACCAGCTGCAGCAGCAGCAGCAACAGCGACAGGCGCCGCCCGCTGACCCGGTGGTGGGACACCAGTATGGGGAGCAGCCTCTCTTGCTGGACGACGAATTGGACCCGGAGTCGAAGCCCGAGCAGACTCGGGGCGACCCGTTTGTCAAGCACCAGTACAAGTTCAAGAGCCACCACCACCACCACCAGCCGAAGCAGTTGATGATGCTGAACGGTAACAGTTCGTCCGACGATGTCGAGGACGATGACGATGACGACGTGAAAGTAGCCGAGAAGTCGGAGCCGCGTGTCCTCAAAAATGGGCTCTGGAAGCTCGACGAGGACGTGTTTGCGCTCGCGCCTTTTCCCCGGCAGCGTAGTGGCTCGAGGAAGAGTAGCGGTGGCAGTGGTGTGGCTTGCGAGGAACAGAACAACCGATCCGTCACTCCGGTGTCCGTGGAGACGTCGCAACCCCCAGCTGTGACCTGCTCACCGGTTATATCGGGCAACCTGGTGGACATAGATACGGGCAACGACGCTGGTGGTGACGACGAGGACGGGGACAATCAGAGCGGCGTGACGATACTGCACCAGCCGAGGTACGTCTTCGAGGGCATTCCAACGCCGCCGAGGAAGATCAGCTTCGAGCAGCCGAGCGGCGAGATCCAGGAAAAGGACCTGTTTGGCTCGTCGCCCTTTGAGTCGAGCTTCAACAATCCGTTCGACAGCGTGTCCTCCTCCGTGAATCGTCAACCGGTGCCTGTCGTTGCGCAGCCGGTCGACGACGCGAAATCCCTCTACGACTTTTCTCCCATGTCGCCACCGGTGGTCGCTCCCTTCTCCTCCTCCTCCTCCTCGAAGTTTGGCCTGGTGACAGTAGTGAACCCGATCGTCTCGAACTCCGCTGTGTCGTCGAACGCGAGGCTCGAGGACTCTTCGAAGGACTTGTTTGGTTCCATACCGTTCGACGAGATAACGTCGCTGGCTCCGAGCAACCCGCAACAGCAGAGGCCCACGTCGCTCCCCCTGACCCAATCGCCGACTTTCGTCGACAAGGCTCTCAACACGATCCTCTCCAGCACCCACTCGGCCCAGCTTCCTCCCATTTGTAATCCGACCTATGGTATGCCCCTGAACAATCTCCAGAGCCAGGAGAGCTCGCAGTCGTTGTGCATGGAAGAGGAGGCCGAGGAGATCGGGGAAGTCGTAGGGGCCGGCAACTCGCCAATGTCGCCCGAGCCTCTAGTCGCCCAGGACGCGTCCAAGTTCAAGAAGCACCTGCACAAGCACTCTCACCACCACCACGAGAAGCCGTCGAAGCACGAAAAGTCCAAGTACTACCTGATCAACGAGAACCTCGGCGACAGCATCAACGTGCTGCCCTCGAAGATGTGTCTCTCGACCTCGTTGTCGTCCAAGAGCGCGAAAAAGTCGTCCAAAAGCAGTAAAAAGGCCACCTCGGCCGTGGTCACGGCTGGATTCAGTAACCTCAGTTTCGAGGACTTTCCGAGCGACGAGAACAACGACGAGAGCCTCAGGCACGCGGGCACCAGGACGGCTTACGAGGTGATCAAGGAGCCCCAGAAGCGATTCGGCTCGCTCAAGAGACGGAGTAATCCCTTCACGTGAGACAAGGACCGGGTGACGATTGTGGAAGGCTTTAGGAGACTTTAACGCAATCGATGTCGCAAGCTAACGTACAAGTGCGAAGGAATAAAAAAGGTCAGTGCGCGACATTGGTTTAGTTGTTGTTGTTGCTCGCTCTGCCTTATGCGGTATTTCGTTTCTAGTGTTGTTGTTATTTCATGTGAATTTTCCTACTTTACTTGGATCTTTGTAAGAAACATACACTCACCAATAAGTGTAACGTAGATTATTTATTTTTCTTATTTTTGTTTTGTTTTGGGGTAATCTTTTCCGAAAGATTTTTTTAATGCTCTATTTCATGAAATCACTCTCAGCGTGCAGCATATGTATTAATCACGTCACCTTGGTACTTTGATAATCATTTGGCAGCTGTGTAGAGTGTAAGATAATATTGTACCATGAATTTTGTTCTTTTTAGTATCTAAAAGGAATTCTATTTCATTAGTTTAGATTTTTTTTTCGTTTTTCAAGTCTGATGTGACTCGTAAGTGGGCAAGCCCATAAAAATAAATCGAGTGTCATTCGTATTTATTCACATGTGCAAACTTGGATCAAGTACCAGGCACTAATGAAAAATTATAGATTTTTTTTCTTTACTGAAAAGTAAAATAAACATTTTTTATGATTGTTATTAAATGTGAAATATTTTACAACTTGGTCAAATTCGTATTCAGGTGTTAAAAATCTTCATAGTAACACCATAAGTTATGATGAAAATATCTACGATTACAGTTTGTCAGTGTATTTATTCCATGTGATTTATGTATAATTTCAGTATTTGACAAAGAAAATCCACTTTATTTTTCAACGATTTATTATATCCAACGTATGTGTATTTTGTATACGTAAAATATATTCTTTGAATGTTTAATGACACTCGAGTTCTGGCAGTTGTAGGAAAACAAAAAAAAAAAAAAAAATACCAAAAGTATTGACTCGACCGTTCCCCCCGTCAAAGCATTTATATAGTCACTTATCACCTTCTCTCCGAACGATGATTATGTGAAAACATGTTGTTTGCTAAAACTTAGGCAGCTTGATACCAAAAAATACGGATAACTAAAGCGAACTAAAAAGAAAAAAGTATCTTTCGAGTCTAATATTATATAGAAAAAAAAAAAGCATGTGTGTGTTTATTCGCAGCTATTGTACTGTCGCGACGTTTTTATATTATGTACTGTTAACAAACTGTGACGACAAAATTTTATTGCTCGTAAAAAAGAAACTGTCTACGACAAAGGAACGAGTCTTGCGCGAGAAATGAAAATAAGGGGGGTTTCAAGAAATATTCAGATCTTTTGTGAGAGAAAATGATTTTTACACTATACTGCGTTATGAAAAAAGTCAAGCAACTGTTTTATGTATCAATGCGTACGTAGAATTTTTTTTAGACAATAAAAACTCACATCCACTAAATATGTAAGACAGAGGGAAGAGTCGAAACAAAATGACGGTGGTTGTGTAGCTTAAGATAGTAAAAACTGCTTCGTCTCTAAAAATCGCCTTATATCACGAAAGACTGAAATCGCTTCTGATGACCATGTAGTGTTAGAGAAAGGAGATTATCGCTGCAAAACTATACATTGGCCCTATAAAATCTCGCCAACGTTTCAACTATTTTCAAATCTCAACTTGAAGCTTTTGTATGATGGTTTTTCTCGTCATTCGACAACTGGCCCACTGCAAAAAATAATTACCATATCGTCACGTACGAGCCTCACTTGTGTTGTTAACGTAAAAAAAAAATTTCAAAGAAAACAATAGTTACTGCGATGCAAGTATACGCGTGTATTGCAAAATTCAACACTTGACGCATGTCAACCGAATTTATTGATTAGTACAAAAGGGTGCTAAGCTGCTATCGTTGTCGTTGTTGTAAGGACGCGTAAGGTATAGAAGGTTGGAAGAAACACTGTGAAAATCGAAAACTTCTCTGACGAAGAGTCTCGCGAGTTCGTCATTTGATTTTTTCTCCCTCAAACGAAGCTTGTGCGTTGATCGTATGAGCTCGCTCGATCAATTCGTGAAAAATGCATTTCGCCGGTCGCATTGTATTACATTGTTTACAACATTGATTTTTATTTTATTATCATTATTTTATTGTTTGCGAAATATGGCTTTGGTCCTCTGGTAAATAAAAATATTCATATATATGTATGTATACAAAAATATATTCCTTTACGTAAGTCGTACGTATTTACAGATTATAAGGGAATATTTAGTAATTTATTTGAGTCTCTTTAATTAAATGAATTTTTATTTACGCGTACGAGAGTGTTAAAGTGAGACAATATACTGTAAGTGATTCTTATGTGAGAAAAAAAAAAAAAATTGTAAAGTGTACGTATTACATATATTTATGTAAAGTGATTAATAGACAGTAGATGAATAACATAAGTAAAATCATTAAAATTAGGTGCCTTTCTTGATTACATTAGGAATCAAACTTGTATATTTTATACACACGAACTTCGTCTTTGATTGAAAAAAAAAACAATAATAATAAAAATAAAATAAAATAAATAAAGTAATCTAATTTTTTGTATATGATTCGATACTATGTAAAGTTTCTGATACGAGAAGGCGTCAACTTGGTGATAACAAAATGGAAAACAAAACAGACTTTTGTGCCAATTTTGTTTTGTATAGATTTATCTCGATCATCTTTGAATAAAAAATTATCATAAGGGTATAAAAGTAAGTGACATTTCTTAAAAGTACTTATCCTTGTACGATATCGATGCTGGTCATTTGAAGTTAATAAATTATTTATTGAAAAATCTAATCAAGTGACTTAAAAATTGACATAAAAAAAAAAATTGTTATGAACAACAGTTTAACCTAATCATTAGTGAAAAATCCAAGAGCTATGTCGTAATATTGAAAGAAAAATATTTACCAATTCTTAAAAAGATAAAAAAAAGTAGGCGTTGACAGTGATTCTAAAATTACATGAAATAATGCTGATTAATCATGAATGCTATGATTGTTTTCTTGCTTTTGCTTGATCACCAAATATTAATTTTCTACATTACTAAACGTGTTAAAATTTATTGGAACAAAAAATTTATCAGCCCATATCCTATAAGTATCGTTCAATTTTTAACGAACAACAATTATTTAATCAGCAAAAATGCGATTACAAGCTTATTAATGAAATAACAAGATTTCTTGATTCTACTGATAAAAAAAAAAAAAATAAATAAATTAAAAAAAAAAATTGAAATTTAATATACTGCATGTATCGACGATTCTATTACCGTCCTTTTTCAGCTTATGTGTGTATCTAATGTTAAGTTATGCTCGGTATAAGTTTTTGCATTTTATATTTGTGTAAATGATAAGCACACGACAAAGTGAACTTATATCAACAGGCTAGATTATGTCAATTCTATACGTACAGACCTCAGCGTTGTACTTTTTGAGAGAAAAAATATTATAATATATATTCGTAAACAGCATGTAACGTGTAATAAAAAAGTTCCTGCGGTGATAAAAGTCGAGGGACTCGTATTTAAGAAAATGTCCTACAGAGTTTTTTTTTTATTATTTAAGGTGCGTTGAATTTATATGTGTAATTGAAACGAGTCGATTTGGTATCGATTTTTCCATAAAGTTCTGAGGATACAATGGGAGAAAGTTGCCAAAGATTGTTTCACCGTTTTTGAATGAAATACAGCACGTTGTTAAAAAATGTATCACACATTTCCAAGTTTTATGTAAAATAATAATTATTATTGCATTTGAGTAAAAATAAAAATTTTTGTTGACACCCAACTAGAGAACGAGTGTTTTTTTCTTTGCAATGTAAATTAAAACTGTATCATTAAAATTTCGGTTATAATATTTCCTACAATTTACATCCTTTTATTATAAACTCTATTGATTGATAAGTAACGTAATCAAAATTTTTTTTTCGTAAGGAAAAACATTCTGATTTATATGCTTAAAAGTTATACTTTTAACTGAAGCATACTACGTTAGTTAAAAACAAAAAGTTTTATTAACAATGATAAATAATGATGTTGGAACTGAGAAAAACATATAAAAAAATATACTTTTGTATAGTACGATGAAGAAAAACCAAAATTTAATTCCTAGAGTTTTCGAGCCTTATGAGATTGGCGTTTTGCATTTAATGAGTTATAAAAAATAAAACAATTGTGAATAAATTACGAAAATCTAAATCTCACTTTAAAAATTAATATTCTTCTTTATCGAATTGCAAATAAAGAAAGAAAGAAAGAAAGAAAGGCACAGTCAATTATAAATAATCGATCTACAATGGGGTCGATGGATTTGTGTATGAGCACACTATGTATATAAAAAAAATATGATCCGGCGTACAGACAATTACTTCTGTCAATGTCGTAACAAAAATGCACTGTTATTTACATACTTGTGTACACAATATTATAACAATTGCGCGTGTATTATATATAATAAGTGAAAGGAGAAATCTATATACAAAAAAGCATATACGTAAACTGACATTGGAGAAAAAGTTTAATAAAAAAAAAAAAAAAAAAAAAATCACAACTCAAGAGAGCAAGGCGTTAGTTGGCCTTTTATTTTGTCTAGCTGCTTTTACTGAGATTGTGTGATGATAAAAAGAATATGTGCAAAAAATGAAAGGCACTATTTTTAATCACGAGTCGAACGATTTTTGTGCGCATCCATGTTTTAGTCTACAAAAAGTTAGTCCTTACAATATATAATGTATGTCCTATACGTGTATAAAGTACAAAGAGCTGAGAAATAAACTGCATCGTAATACAATGTGGAGAAAATATTACATTGTTAATGCCAATATATACCTTTCCTTTGTTGTTCACAGTTTACTTGACATAGTAATCGGTAACTTCGATACATTGATTCATCCAATCAACTCTATTCCATATTTTTTATTGATACAAAACCACATTTTTATATTAAACAAATTATTTTAACGGCGACAATACTACAATATTTTCAAGTTTCGCCTTACTTGTAACTTACTTAAATATTGTAAAAAATAAAGCAAGTCACACTAAAGTATACATTTTTAACGATATCCACTTGAATTCAAGGACTTAAGGTGCAAAAAAGATTCACATTCACGTGCATACACAAAATTGCTACATGTACAAATAAATTAAAAATATTTAATAGCGTAGAAAAAAAAATTATAAATGTATCCACAAAGAATATAGTCCGAAAACCTTCGAGTGATGTGGACATATTTCCATGCTCCTTCACGTGGATCAAAAAACGTACACTTGCACGCACAAAACAAACATTTTTCACTAAAAAGGCGCAGGGTCAACACGATTTCCAACGTGTGAGAGTAAAAAAAAAAAAAAAAAAAAAAAAAAAAAAAAAAAAAAAAAAAGTATCTAAATCTCAAAGTATTTTTTCTTCCATCTGCCAGCGAAACTCAGCAGCAACAACAGCACATGGACTCGTTGCGCAGCTTGTGCCGTTGTCTGCCCATGTAGCCGTTCAAACAGAGCACCGTGACCCAGACGAGGACGTTTATCCACGCGAAGGCGATGCTAGTCTGCAAGAGTAGGCCAGTGTCTATGATGTCGCCTCTGCGGCTGTTGATCGGGTCGGGGTGCAGGTAATCCATGAAGTCAAAGATCGCTCCGCAGTTCAGTCTGTTGTGTATTACCTGACGGATGAAGACGAATTTTTTTTTTTTTTTTTTTTTATCCTATAAAAGGATTTTAAATGGCAAAAGTGTCGGTATGGCGTATTAAGCTAACAATAAGCGTTAGACTGGTATTTTTTTTTTTTTTTCATCCTATACTCGCGCGCGCACGGGAGTTTCGCAATTTTTCAAGTAGTACGATTCAAGGACAGGTCAGACGCACTATCTATACAAGTGCTGGGATAAACTTTTCCCTTTTTCTTTTTCATGTAAGTATAAAGGAAATACATACCGCGAATGTTACTAAATTATTGTACTCCTTGTTTACGAATCAAATATATTCTGTATTACTTTTATTTTCGAATCTTCAAAGACTCGTAGTTTTTAATAGATTTCTAATACTTGGTGTCCCACTCGGAGACGACATGTTTTTTCTTTCTCGATTTTAACTTTCAAAAATAAAAATTTATCAGCGTAAAAACCGTAGCCACTCGTTAGTGAGCGCATCATCATAAGTAAGTATAAGGTATAAAATCAATCAACGAGTAAATTTATAGCGTATCGACATCGTTCGAGTCACCGATGATTTGATGCGTATAACACATATACATCCACATCGATTTATTAGGTAAACCATACCAAATGCTTATGTGTAATTTATACGCGTTACCTCCGACCTTGGACCGTCTTCACCCAACTTTTTATACTTGTATTATTAACCCGCTCAAACATTGATTTATGGACTTGTGTATACATAATATATACACATGTTTTCATGAATAAATGAGCAAAAGTTATTAAAAATTGAGGAGAGGCATATGTAAAATAATACCAAAAGCTCCTGGCCGATAGGATTGACGAGGCGCACCAGGTTCCGCCTGTACTGGGCGCAGGTTTTTGAGTAGCCGTCCGTCACCACTGCCGCGTAGATCAAAGCCAGGGCCGACAGTGGAATCGCCAGGAAGCAAAAGGGCATCCAGCTCTTGAAGGGCGCCCGCTGCTTCGGGCCCACCACCATCACCTCGCACTCCATGCTACGCCTGCGTGTATATATAAACACTTTTTACCGCGTTTATTTGCTATCTACGGTACACGTGATGAATATTATTAATATGGAGCCCCTTTGAGAAAATTGGACGATAAAAAAAAAAAAAAAAAAACAGAAAAAAATCTCTCGGAAACAATAAAACATTTATTTACGAGGATAAATTTAAAAGCAAATAATCAACGTTCTTTCACCTGTGCGATGATATTTATTTCAAACAAGAGAATTTATTGTTAATTAACGTGGCAAAACTATTGTCTTGGTTTAAAAATAAACAAATGTTTACTTGATTATAAAAAATTTTTTATCTCAGTGTGCCTATCTATTTGACGTTGTTTGAAATGGTACGAAACAAAATTGGCGCTTGGCAAAAAGTCCCAGTGGAATTGAATATATAACTATGTAGAAAAAAGGTACAATGAAAATTCACAGGAGGGGAAAAACAAAAAGAAAAAAAAAAAAAATAAAGGTGGAATGAAAAACGCACCGGTTCTCGTAGCTCCTTTTGCCAGGAACGCGAGTACCTCCCGTACCACCGGCAGCACCGGTGGCCAAAGCCCTGGGCTCGCTGAGGCTCCTGGGTATGCAGCTCCTGTAGCCGTGGTAGAAGCCCAGGACGATGGAAACGAGGAGGTTGCCGACGAGGCCGAAGGAGCCGTAATGGCAGAGCTTGACGTCCCCGCCCATGAAGGTACTGAAGGTGCTTTTGCCGTACAGGATGCAGCCGCAGTCGCCGTTTATGCAACCGTCGAGGGTCCAGATCCAATGTTGCCAGACTATGAGCATGAGGAGCATCGACAGCAGCGATGCCAGGGCAGAAGTGGCGTAAAGGACGCTCAGGACCTTTTCAACCAGCTCCGAGCTCACTGCTGGCCTTTCCCGATTCTGGGCCATTGTCTCGATGTGCCGATTCGTTTAATTCGTCAGGTCATCGCTTCCTTTGGAATATCTACTTTTGGTGGATTGGTGATGGTTCGAAGACATTGCTCGATCTTTGCGCTAGTGGAAATTTACCTATAATTTTATGTTCGATTGGTTCTTTTTTTTATATTTAAATATAGTTAAAACGCGTTTAGATAAAGTTATGATGATTGACCCTGCAAGCTGCACCTGAGGAATGTTACAATCACTCACAATTAGTGCGTATTTTTCAGATTTTTTTTTTTTTAATTCACTTTAATTAGATGACGTTTGTAACTTGCAGCATAATTGGACTCCATGTAACATGGATACTATTTCATTCCATGTATTTTTCGAAAAATGGTCCCATTAACTAAAAATTTACCCAACGATACGTTTTTGACTCAAAGTATATATTTCTTTTTGTGTATCCATCCACTATTTACCATCAATTATCCTCACGATCTGCGATAAAAAAAATCCTCAAGCGCCACGAACACCTTTATACAAATTAAGATTGAGTTACACCCTAAAAAGGACGGTAATACGAATTGTTGGAAAAAACAGACGTTGTGACCCCTGCAACCTTTTATTCGACCATCATTGACACGTACATATATATACACATATTGCAGGCGCACGACCTTGACACGCGTGTGTATTCGCGTGCTCGTCAGTTGCCATTTAGTTTCTCGCATAAATAAGAAAGAAGAAAACAAACAAAAACGGACGAGCCATCAAAAAACCCTCCTCGCGAGCAATAAAAAGACTATTTCCGTAACACCACGTGCGTGTGGCTACCCGGTGCAATAATCGAAAAGGCGAGCTGCAGCAGAGCACAAAACTTTCGTTTTTTCCCCGGATCCAAACGAGATTTTTAAACTCAAGTCCAAAGTCTTCGAGTACATATTATACACTATAATCGCACTCTTACGTAAATAAGCCCTGTTTGGCAAATCGACACCCTATGTGTACATTTTACGAGTTGATTTTTCTTTTTTCTTTTTTTTTTTCTTTCAATGCACGAATGCACGTTATTTCAGACAGATTGTGTATTCACCAAAGTGCGCGTGTAGGTTCAGCGCTGACGCACGTAGCCACCAAGAGATGTTTGATTGATTTTACTCGTTAGAGCGCCTGTACAAACTAACCGGCTATCGTAAACGTATAGGTACGTGCTTGAAATCGTTGTTTTTTTCTTCAGATGTAGCGGGTGCACGTTTTTCGAAAAATGCCCCGCCAACGTCGAAAAGTGCCATTTTCAAGACTTTTTTTTTCTTTTTTTTTTTTTTAATGAATTTTGGGAGGTGAAAGAAACTTATGCTTTTATATATTTTCAGCGTGGTTGAGGAAACTCTATTATTTATGTATATACTCAATGATTATTATTGTTATTTTTTTATTCCGATTCTGTCACACATCATAAAAACAAACAAACAAACGAACAAACATAAATAAATACATCCACACGCGAGATGAAACGTCGTCCACCCTTTCAAGCCTGTCAAAAGTGCCGCTAACTCTCTCTCTCTTTCTCTCTTGAAAGGTGAGCATCAGACTCTCCCCGGCAAATGATGTAAACTTGTAAATATGTAAGTGAAGAATTAGAGTCTCATTGCAATTGTATACAGTTATTCGTCCTGAGCCCTTTTGACGCCTTATCTCCCTATATACACCCACCTAGCCGGAGCAGATATCGATTCACCGAGGCTACAGTGGACCAACGGATTTACTTCTAGTCCGTGGCCAATAAAGTATAGATGGTCTTCTTTGACCTTTGAGCCTCGGAGGAGATGACGTCTGGGGATAGAGAGGAAGGACGGAGTAACAACGTAAAGAACGAGACACAACAAGCAACGCGCAGTAGCCATTTGGAACACGAGCTTTAACGATTGGGATTTGGCAAAACTCGACACCGCTCCGAAACCCGATGAAGTGGCCATCAAAATTAAAAAAAAAAACCTTTTTACACCTGTCAGAAGTGTCACTCTCTCTCTCTCTCTCGTACACAATACAGATTACAGGATGAGTCAATCGTTTTGGGCCTTTTGAATTATCACCACGTTGCTTTTTACTTTATTGCTGCTAACGCGTGTTTTTTTTCCCATTTTCTTTTTTTACAAGTTGACGAAAGGACGGACGATGGGGAAGAGAAAAAAAGTTTCGCTGCCAAAGAAAACCTGCAAACAAAACGTGCGTGAAACTCCCTGATGTTTTTTCAATTGGTAAAAATTTAACGAGCCACGTATACTCGCGCGTGTGTATTTACGTATATGCGTGTGCGCGCATCCCTCTTTATTTTACATGCGTCAGTGAGAAACATACAGCGAGTCCAGAAACAATTTGTTTACTCAACTATAGGTGTATGTACATACGCTCGAAGGAAAGAGAGGGAGGGATCACCGCAAATTTTTAGAGACTCGAAATTTTCAATTTTTGGTGTTTGAAGGACGAAATAATGCGTCTGTGTATCGGTAATCGGCTGTCAAAAAGGGCGACTATACCGATCATGTTGGACATATATATACCACAGGATTGTCGAAAGGAAAATCGTTTTCAACGTACCACCCACAATAGCTTTTATCGCGATATTAAATGCGCGTGTACCGCATAAAAATCGCTTTCTCTCGTCCAACGTTAAACAAACACGTCCCATCTACGTTTCGAGGAACATCGATAAAAAAAACTTTGCCACCTATACGTGCAACGTAAAAACAAGTCGTTAAATAATACGCACGCACGCAAACACGGTCAAATACACGCGCGTACCTATAACGATCGCGATGAGTGACAAAAAACAAAGTGCGTGTAGTTTTATACACCAACGAACGTATGGATTTGGATGGAAAAAAAAAACAAAACAAAAAAACGTACGGAGCAACGGTCAAATATTTGCGATCTCGAAGGTGAAATTTTTTTTTTTTTTTTAACGTCACCTTCCTTCTGACAACGGTAGGTACACGCCCATGTGTATATACGTTCGATCGGTTTGCTTTTAAATGAACACAGGTATATTCTTTATAAGTATCTGTACCTAAAACGCTTACACGCCCTAATTCAACGTCACAAAGTGAATTCTACAGAGGAAACATATAAATTTTATTCCATTATTTAGTTCTGAAAAACAAAATTCGCCAAAAATTCGCATTGATTTATTTTACACAACAAAACCACGTGAAAAAACTTTTATCCGCTCAATCCCATAGCACGCGAGCGTGCACGTATAAACTCAATTGAAAAGAGCCTAGCTACTAAAAATAATGCGTAACCATGTATGTCAGGTAATGACAACTTAACGCTAATTCATAAGCGCGAAACGCCTCTCCTCCTCTGTGCTGTCATTGTTTACGTTAGAATTTATTTGCACATTTTTTTTCACGGAGTACCTATACAGGTGCGTGTTCAAAATTAACGCAAAACGTTTTACCGATCGCCATCTGCAGCCGTACAATACCTTTAATTTTCCATATGGATAGTTTCATGTCTTTTCTTTTTTAAAACGAGTATCGATAATTAAACAATACACCCATCTACCGATCTTCGCAGCATGAATCTCCGAAATCGGTAAAGACAAAAACGCCATCGCGATCGAATCTCGTTCCGATCCATCGCTTTCGTTACAACGCGTGTGTACACTTACATTTTCCTTATCAGCACGGATAAACCGCGCGTGTGTCATATCCAAACCGATGACTCTTCTCTCCGTGCGATGCACCGATAAGTGTATTTTCCGTCCTCATTTTTCTTTCATCCGATCTCCCCAGCAGCGGCTGCTCTATATATCTCTGGTTGATCATAAAATGATAAAACAACACACCAATTGCGTTTGTGTATGTGTATTTGGGGGTAAATTATTTCATTAACGCGCACAACACTTCAGTACACCCACAGCCTATTGTTTCGCCATACCGATTTTTGGGCAGGTGAGAGAAACACGCACTGGCACTCTGTGCACGAAAAAAAAGCGCGAAAGAAGATCGGTAAGTACAACTTGAAAGCTCGGCGCACAAGCTCTCCCTGTTCCTCGAAACTCCTTAAGGAATCGGTAAGTGTAAGAGAAGAAGGGGGTGAATGGCGAGCACACGCAGGCGTGCCTCGCGGCTTCTTCTACTACTCGCGACTCTGACGCCCGCAGAGTTGCGTGGAGAGATAAAAGAGAGAGAAGAGCGCCTCTGTGTACCCTTTCGTACCCCGACCCACCCACTTTTGTTTGACGTGCGGATGACTGATAAGGAAGATAAGATTCGGCGATCGATACGGCGCGCACGAACCAAACAGGTGTTCTACTTTTCTTTTATACTTTTATGAGTTTTTGAGCGATTGTGCGTATACGGCGTGTGGGTGTGGCGTGGAGGATATTTTGTATTGAGCGACGCGTGGGTCGATGGGACGGAAGTACCGTTTTAATAAATGTATGTTCAATTATGCCCACATTGTTATCGGGTGGTGAAAATAACAGTTTTGAAAAATAGTCTATTGTAAACAGTTGTCTTCATTTGAATTTATGTAATAAATGCGTTTTCATTTAACGTGTACCATATACAAATTATCAATGATTATATGCACGTACAAAACAAACCTGTAATTTTAATATTTTTTAAAATAGTGCTTTAATCGTACGTAGTTCGGGCTTTTAATGGTTATTATTGTTTCACAACAATGTCAGTGGAAAATGGTATTAGGATTAATTAATCTATTTTGTGTGTAAGAAAATTTTTTGAACATGGCATGAGGGTCGTCAAATTTATGCGCATAGCATACTAAAACATATGTATGAGCTTATGAAGACATGTAACTCGAGTATCCTTAAAAGTTTACACTCGATTAAGCTTAAATTTTTTTTGTAGCTTCGTTTTCATATCATAACTAGACAGTCTGAAAATATGAAAATATGTTGAGCCAATTTCGTCGGAAAAAAAAAAAAATTAATCAGTCTCAGGGTAAAAACATTACCTTTTTTCAAAACAGATGCCTATTATCACCTTTTCATTAGCCCATGTTAACCTATAAAATTAATCGCCAATATCTTTTAAATAAGTTGGCCTCGCCATATTTTGTTTTGACATCATTCAAGAGCTTGAAATTCCGAACATCACAGTTCAAATTTTTATTGAGAATCCCTTTCAAAAGACTTTACGTAGTTTTCGTTACTTTAGTAAGTTTCAAAGGCCACTCCATCCGAGTGCGTACCTCACATATATTATCAAGTACTGGGAAAAACGTTCATGGCAGAAAGTATACTAGCGTTTGATCTTCACAAGGTCATTGGAACAATACATCTTGATTGGTAATCTCATATGTTGGAGTATATTTTCACTTGAAATACAATATAGACAAATTAACACAATTATGTTTTTATTAATAACATTTAAAAAATGTGTAGCTTATCAACACATAGATGATAATAAATACAAAATAACATTAATAAAAGTATCTGTCATGTCTCCTATATACCCAAAGACATTAGAAAAAACAAAATGATCAATTGATTAAAGATAATACAACTAAAATAAAAAAAAAACTGGGTCAATCTTTCATATCTACTTTTTTTTTTCTTTTTTTATTCTAACTAAATACATTTTTTGTATGTAATTTTACAATATCTGTTGACT